ATATCTTTGACTCCTTTTGAATACACCAGGTGTACATTACAGATTACCTGCACCTTGAATGCTCCTGGATTCCATGGCGCCACGATTACATATTCGAGGCTAGAGCATTTCTACAATAGGTTGTTAGGCTTTGGCGAAGTGTTGAATACAACGTTCTTCTTAGTTTTGCTAGGCGATTCTAGTTTTACTTGCTTTTGCATTTAGACATGTTACGGGCGCTCTGCAGTCCCATAAGATCACAAAACAGCTGCTCAACTTAAATCTTTTTAACCATCCAAATAACATTGGTTAATCAATTATCAACGAATTCAAATGTAGGCCAAACTTAAGACACTTACCCTTGCAAAAGAACCTTAGATTCAGTTGAAATCCGAGACTCGTAAACGGGTGACGCTTTTCACGATCGGAGTTACCTTTCGCCTCTGTTTTAAGACGAGCCCTCGTGAACAACCTCTCATATAGAAGTGAAATGAAAGGATAGAGGCCACACGGAAATGGCCTGTCTTTAAACCTAAGCAGTGCTGCATCAAAGCTTTTTATAGCGCACTTTGAAAACTAAAATCGTGATATTCCTTCAGTTGTTTAATTGTAACACTCCGAAAGAAAAAAAACAATATCTTTCCGGTATGAAGAAAGCTTATTGAATTACAGCCGCCTTCGTTTGTATCTAATTTGATAATTTTCGTTTGTCACGACAAGTTACCTGACATCGCAATTACATAACAAACAATTTAGTTGCATACACCTTTTACCATCTATTTTTCCATTTTGGTTGTTAAACGCTGGAAAATATCATTCTATAAACATCCGCAAAAAGGCTGATATTTACTCTGATATTTAAAACTAATGGAACCCAACAAAACACGTAAGAATTCATTAATGGGTTGTTTAACATTCATGATTCAAAACTGGAATATCGATCAGCTTCCGTGACGGACCTCAGGCAAAAAGCACTTTATTTCAGTCAAACCTCTCCTTACGGACACCTCTGTAATACGGACAGACACCTCTATACTACAGCCAGTTGATTTGGTCCCAGTGTAACCAGAATCTATATAATCTCTACCTCTATATTGCGGACACCTCCGCGAAAAGAGGGCCGGCCGTAATTCTCTCTATATTTGGCATGTTATGGCTCTATGAGCCACCAAATGTCACACAAAGCTAGTATCTTTAGACGCTATCAATTGTTGACGGAGAAATACAACAAACCTAGCTGTTTTGCCGTCTCAGTGCATACGCAACATTTCTGTGGCGACATTTGCTCGCGAACATCTCTTGAATGTTCGCTTAGTTTGAGTTCTGAGGAGCAGCAAACATGGCCAAGGAGACAGCTTGAAGTATTCGATTGCCAATTCTCCTTATGCTAACAGCAAAGTGTTAAATTTCAATACACTAGTACTAAAAGTAGGATGTTATAAGAAGAGAAATCAACTTTCCTTATAGAATTGTTTGTTGTATTTCTCCGTCAACAACTGATAGCGTCTAAAGGCCCAAAACGTAACAATATAGTTATGATTTCAGGACGATTTTAGTTTCACGCAGCAGCTATTTCCATATGACAATAAACAAATCTTAGGTATACGGCAAAATAGAGCATTATATTCATATTATTCGATGCATAAGGCACACATCTCAATATAACCACTCAGGATAATAAGACCATTAACAAGATTGAACCAGCAATTAACAAGAAAATGACGCTGTATCCTGAAAATATTAACCTGGAATAGTCACTATATTGCCCAGAAATACTAATCGTTGACGGAATTGACAAATCGGAATATTTATACGTGATCATAACATTTATTTTTGGTCATGATGTATACTAATTTTAACTCGATCTGCGAAGGAAGAAATGGTCACTGTTAGGCGAGACAAAGGGCGGGCCCCACATGATTACTTACGTTTCACTTGACATATTCAAAGGCTAGTTTATTAATTCTTCTTCTTGTTAAATTTATCATTGCGGGCTTTGCCACATTACTCCCTGAGCGCCCCTGTATAGGAGAGCCATAGTGCTCTCAAGGGCTATTCTGTCGAGACCAGACAACTCGCCTCCTCGAGTTGTCTAGCCTCCGAGACAACTCTAACGGTTCTTTGACTTTTTTAAGGAAACAGTAAAAAAATCAGCTCGTCTAGTGTAACTTGTGAGAGGGGAGAGGAGTTTGCCTCGGTTACCCAAGACCGAAAAATGGGCACTTTCTGATAATACCAATGATCACAATACGAAGAAATACATGACTTGACGAAAAAAAAATGAGACTTATGAGAAAGTAATTTATGAGAGAAAGTATGGACGTCAGATTGACACGAAAATGTTAACCTTGGGTTTTTGGCCAGCTGATAATATAAAAAACGACTTCCTAAAAGGTGACTTGAAATATAAATATCTTTATAAAATTGGCAGTCTGTTTCCTCATGCAGAATTTAGTGCCCAAAACACATTAATTTCACGTAAACAAATTTTGCCCTCTGATATTACCAAATTGGTCCAACATGGAAAAGAAAATACTTATCATGTAGTTTTCCTGTCAGAAGAGATATTTCATGTGCAATGGTTATCATTGCATTTTGGTTTTAAATATTTTGTCAATATCATGACGTCATTACATCTCTCCATATGGTAATTTTTCAAATGTTGCACACCCAATGTCGACTATTTGTTTGACAGGAAGACCGCTTCATAAATACACACCTTTTACACATTTGAGGTTGTTTCGTCTCCCAACATTCCCCTTCTACATAGTGGATGATTAATATTTTGACGTAACTCCAACGGAAGTTTCATCCAAACATTATAAATATATATATATATATGCATGACGGCCTTGAGTGATAAGTTTCTTCAGTTAAATGTTAGTCTCCTACGGCTGCGAAGGAGACTAGTTAAATGTTAGCTTTTAAAATTGGGTGCTACAACCAATCGCTAGCTAAGTTAACTGCAATTTGATATTGGCAGATTGGTGCATAATGAAAAAGAAGCAAATTCAAAATTGATGTGTTCCGGTGC